GAGAGACCTGGACACACTGTGGGGGTACAGGAGGTGACCTGAGGGAGAGAGACCTGGACACACTGTGGGAGGTACAGGAGGTGACCTGAGGGAGAGAGACCTGGACACACTGTGGGGGGTACAGGAGGTGACCTGAGGGAGAGAGACCTGGACACACTGTGGGAGGAACAGGAGGTGACCTGAGGGAGAGAGACCTGGACACACTGTGGGGGGTACAGGAGGTGACCTGAGGGAGAGAGACCTGGACACACTGTGGGAGGTACAGGAGGTGACCTGAGGGAGAGAGACCTGGACACACTGTGGGGGGAACAGGAGGTGACCTGAGGGAGAGAGACCTGGACACACTGTGGGAGGAACAGGAGGTGACCTGAGGGAGAGAGACCTGGACACACTGTGGGAGGTACAGGAGGTGACCTGAGGGAGAGAGACCTGGACACACTGTGGGAGGTACAGGAGGTGACCTGAGGGAGAGAGACCTGGACACACTGTGGGAGGAACAGGAGGTGACCTGAGGGAGAGAGACCTGGACACACTGTGGGAGGATACAGGAGGTGACCTGAGGGAGAGAGACCTGGACACACTGTGGGAGGTACAGGAGGTGACCTGAGGGAGAGAGACCTGGACACACTGTGGGAGGTACAGGAGGTGACCTGAGGGAGAGAGACCTGGACACACTGTGGGAGGAACAGGAGGTGACCTGAGGGAGAGAGACCTGGACACACTGTGGGAGGTACAGGAGGTGACCTGAGGGAGAGAGACCTGGACACACTGTGGGAGGAACAGGAGGTGACCTGAGGGAGAGAGACCTGGACACACTGTGGGGGGTACAGGAGGTGACCTGAGGGAGAGAGACCTGGACACACTGTGGGGGGAACAGGAGGTGACCTGAGGGAGAGAGACCTGGACACACTGTGGGAGGTACAGGAGGTGACCTGAGGTAGAGAGACCTGGACACACTGGGGGAGGTACAGGAGGTGACCTGAGGTAGAGAGACCTGGACACACTGTGGGAGGAACAGGAGGTAACTTAAGGCAGAGAGACCCTGGACATCCTCTGGGAGGGTGCAGAAGGTGACCTGAGGCAGAGTCCCTGAAATCTCTGTACAAAGGGGTGCAGACAGCACTCTTGACCCAGCTGTAGGATGAGCCCTGCATACAGTCTCTGCTCCTCACATCCACAGCCCGTGGTCAGCGGCCACATGAAGCCAAGTATCCTGCACTCTGCTTCCTCCCTTGCTCATGAGTGCACACCTGGCTAGGGGAGGCCAGCAGCATGGCCCAGGGCTGGCTGGCTGACTGCTATTTGCGGCAGGTCGCCTACCACCAGTCTTCTGGTAAGTTCAGTTTGAATCTGGGGCTACCCCAGGGGCCGACTTTGGTCCACTACTAGAAGCTGTCATTATAGTGACTTTCACACTAATCTGAGGACATAACCATTTAACCCTAAGCTCGGAGACTCCCACACAGACCTGCTGCCTCTTGCTCTTCTGATGCACCTGCAGGAAGAAAGGTCTGGATTGATTGGTAAACACCCTGGAAGCACAGGCCTGGACATCAATTGAGGGCAGCTCCAGACATGACTAGAGCAGAAAACGCTGATCTTCTGGATTCTTCTGCTTCTCAGTTTGCAAAGCTCCAAGCACACACAGAGACTGAAGAGATACACGGGGAGCGGGAAAGCCTGGTGGCTCCTTGAACACACCAGGGGCCCCGTGTTATTCCGGCGTTTCCAGAAGCGTAGCAATCCGTGGCTCTCACACTCCTGTACACATTGGTCCTCTCAGAGGGCAACTCAGGCTGGTCCCAGCAGAATCCTGACTAAATGGACAGATTTAATAGTTTTAAATCTGCTTCCTCTTTAGATATGTCTTTTCACTCTATAATTTAATTGCAAAAAAAATTTAGAGACATTCCATTTTCATTTTAATTGGTTCACAAAATTAGAGTTCTATTTTTCATTAATAACTGCTCAAATCCATGGGAAGGAAAAACAGCCCAAATGCGTATTTCTGACTTCCTGCCTAACTGTGTATGAACACAGCAAAGTCAATGCCTCCGCTTCAGGACTGTGTGTTTCATGATCTCTTTCAACTAACAATGATGTAGCCCAACAACTTTTAATCATAAAAAATGAGTTTAAACATAGTTTTAAGATTGCCATTTTATTCAGCCTGAAACGCTTGCCCAACTGAAAGAAGTATGTGCACCTCCTCAACCCAATTTCCAGGTCTCTCAGGCCAGCGCTGCAGAGCACAGTATCTGACCACATGGCTGAAGAACTAAGGTCCTGGGTAAACACGGACAGTGTGGAGGCACAGCCACCAGCCCCTCCCAGGAGCGCGGGTATCCACACGCTGGTCGTCTTTGTAAGCCCCAGCCATGTGCAGACGGACACTTCAAGGAGCAGCACCTCAGCCGGCTCCAGCTGTCCTTTGGAGGAACTGGATCGGGCTGTTCAGAAACTGGCCCCTCCAGCACATCAGGATCTCGGTGGCCAGAAACTTTTCCTCTGTCTGAGCCCGTGGGAGCAGGACCCGGCTGAGTGACGGAGCTGATGGGCTGCAGGAGTGGAGAAGACACAAACCAGCGCCCTGGCCGGGTCCCCTCTGCTCCAGTGCTCTGCAGGGGACTACTCCTACTGGGGGGGCTTCTTTTCTGAGGAGAGACCTACAAAAAACAGCAGGCAGACGTTTCAGGTTAAACTCAGAATCACATTGTCCCCCCTCTGGCTTCGGGCCAGCATGCATTTCCAGGATGGCCAGAGAGAGAGCGAGAGGGACAGAGGTTCCATTCCTGAGCTCCCTGTGCACACTGGGATTCCAGGCAGGTGCCAGCTGCCTTCTTTGGCACTGGCACATGTTCACCGGGTTGTGACATTGGGTGGCCCAGCTCATGCCTAAGAAGGAATGTTCTGACGTCCTCCGGCGATGGCTTGGGCATTTCCCTAGGAAAGCGAGTCATTTCTATTGCTGCTAGAGTTGGGTCACGCCCCAGAGAAAGATCACTCTGGACAAAGGAAAGTATGTGTGTGGGTGAAGTGGCCCTGGGAAAGTGGGGCCCTGGCTCCCTGGGAAAGCCCCGGAGATGCAGGCAGTGCTGAAGAGGCACTGGGCTTCAGGAAGAGACACGGAGACCTGGTAAGGGTTAGGAAGACAGTCGCGACCCTGCAGAGGACCTGACAGATACCCAAGGCCAGTGGCCATGTGAAGACAAGGGCAGAGGTTGGAGCTCTGCTGCCACAACCATGGAACACCTGGGCCACCAGGAGCAGAAACAGAGTTGACTTTCGATGTGTCTCTACAGTGTTGTAAAATACCCACACACAGTAACTGAGCTCAGCTGGGAACTGTGACCAGAGGACCATGCTACATGGTACTCAGCACTCCTCCCCTCAGCCTGGCCAGGGACCCTCAGTGGACTCTGCCCCCTCAGGGGACCCTGCCCTGCCCTCTTCCAGCCACAGGGTCTGCACAGTGCTTGTGTCCTGTCTCTAGAAGGAGCTCTGGCATCCCTGCGGACCCCTGGGTGCCAGGGGAGCTCCTTGTAGCTGGTGAGGGGCACAGAGAGGAGGCTGGGCTGTGCAGCTAGGCTGTCCTCAAGTCCCGCTCAAGAGCCCACATGGTGGGAAGGAGGGACAGAGCAGCGGCCCCAGGCAGGAGGCCAAGCTCAGGTGTCCTGGGCCACCAGGTTCCGGCAGAGCTGAAACCAAGCATTCTAAATCGTCTCTGGGCAACTCCGGGTACTTTCAAGGTAGGAGGAAGGACTGTGCTCTACAGTTTCTAAGCTTGATTCATGATCAGGGCTCTCCGTCTGTCCCTGCATGAGGCCCAGGAAGGCTAGAAGAGGTTCCAATGGTACTGCAGAAATCAGCATGGATACCCACTGTCCCTTTAAAAATACACAGAGCTTCCTCTATCCCATTCCATGTAAAGAAAACAGCCACTGTTGTAGGTGGTCATAAGAGAAGTAATAACGGAAGATACTAGGATAAAAATATAACGGGAAGCATTTACTAGAGATGAGAAGGTGAACTCGCCAGTGGTCAGATAGTGAAAGGAAACAGAAGCGGGTGTCCTATCAGCACAGCACACTCGTTAAGAAGGAGGGCTGCGGGCTGCATGGACAGCCAGAGGCCTGGGGTGTGAACTGCAGGTGCCCGCACGGGGCCGGCTCACCGTTGTCCTTGGGCTGCCCGTCTGGCGGAAGCAGGTCCACAGCACACCTTGGAGGGCCCGGCTGCGAGGAGCGACAGAACATCGTTACAGCAACGGGACTTCAGCAGCACCCAGGATGCTGTGCCTCGTCCAGCAGGCCCCACCCGCGTGGTTCCCCCCAGACCTGTTGCCCTCGTGCCGCATCCGACCCCTCCCTCCCCTGCCCACTGGTTCTGCCCCTCCTGATTCTGCTCTGCATTTGGCTAGAATTTCCATGACTCTGGGGTTTTCCTCTTTTGTTGGGGAACAGCTGAGTCTTGGATCTCTGCAGAAGTGAACACTTTGGTAAAACTCACCGTAGCCCATAAACAGAACAACGTGATTCACCATCAACAAATGCTCTTTTTAAAACCCGCACACTGGGAGCAATGAGAGGGCCAGGAATAAAAACACAAGTTTAAAGTTGTTAGTGGCTCAAGGCAGAGCTCCCAGGTGCTGTGGAGGGCAGAGCCGAAGAGCCCAGGAGGGTGGAGTGCGCAGGCCTCTCCCTCTGCACGGGTGCCTCCAGGAGTCGTTCTCTACGTTCTCAGGGTTTAGACCAAAGATGCTGAGATGTTTCTCTTGGAATTCTCGCCTAGGTTCTCACCAGGTAGAGCGGCTAGATATCGACTATCAGGGGCGCATCAAACAATCAACTGAAGGAACAAAAATCTGTGGACCTGGTGGAGCGTGGTCGTTCCCAGCCCTGGGAACGGAAGGCTGGGCTTCATCTGCCGGCCTGTGTTCCTGCTCCCAACACTCTCCTACCCCGACACCCCGTGGCACAAGAGACCACAGGCTGGGCTCCAGTTGTTTAGTCATCTGCTAAAAATACTTAATGGGAACTTTTTCATGGTCCCCGGTGGGGGCCATTCACAGGCTGCCAGTACACTGAAGGTGGCCTGAGACTTCAGCTAAGGGACCCCACCGCCGGGCCTGGCCTGCTTCACCTGCTCCCCCACCTGGAGAGGAAACGAGATCACCTCTGTCTTTGATCCCCTCGCTTACTCTGAGAGTCTCAAGAACAGGGTTAGGGTTAGTGACGCGTTCCCCGTTTTACACGCCAGGCAAGGTGCCCCAAGAAGGTAGACACGCTGCAACCCCACCACAGCAAGGCACGTGGCTCAGCGCAGCTCACAGTGAGCGGACAGGGGGTACTCCTTTAAAATCAACAGGGTTTCCTCGTGCAGAGATCCGTTCGGTGGAACACTGCTTGACGGGGAAGGCGTCACACAGAGGACCCTGTCCCCACAAGAGCTGGGCCTGCTGCTGCGTGCCTCTTCTGACCGACGGGGGAGCCTGGGAGCCTCAGCTTTCTTTCCATTAAGGAGGATGGGACAGAAGCCCCTCTCTGCTCCCAGGTCAACGTGCAGGACCCTTGGTTCTACAGTTAGTCCGTCTGTCACGAGAACATTTCCCCAACCCTTACAGGTTCCGTCTCCTTCTGATTCCCACAGTCGTGGTTTACTTCTACATCCCTGACAGGATGTGATCAGGAACGAGCGCTGATGACTAAGAACCCGGGTAATGAAGAGAACAGGACAGGCACAGGCAGTGGACAGAAGCAGCCGCGGCCTCCACGGGCAAAGGACCAAGTTCCCCTCAGGCTGCACCACGCCAGGCCACCGAGGGAGAGGTGCTCTGAGCCCTGACGTCTGCCCGCCCCCCAGGGGTCACAGTCTCACCCCTTGGAAGAGGAGCCTGTTGTCCCCTGGGAGAGGACAGGCAGGACCCTTTCAGGAAGGTGGGGAACATGCTTTTGGTAAGGGCTGTGCTGAGAAAATGCCAATAAAAAGTCTCAGACTTTGGCATAATTAGAAACAGAGTTGATCGAAGCCAAGGGGTGGGGAGAGTGTCTGGGCACACAGAGAGCAGAGCAGGTGGCAGCCTTCCTGGATGGAGGCTCTGTGAGGAGAACAGAGGCTGGCCTCCCTTCAGGGCAGTGGGCACCGCTCCAAGAACAAGGTGGGCCACTGCAGTCTGGCTCACTCAGGTGGACCGTGCCAATCAACTCCACCCAGGTCCACTTCATCTTGCTGGGCACACACGGCCACGGGGGACAACTGAAGTGGGTCACCTCTTCCTGGATCTTTCAAGAAAATCCCCTCCACAGGAAAACGTCAAAAACCATTCTGCACATATGTGGTGACAGCCACCGTAGCTCAACACGAGTTGGAAGCTGTCCCTCTGTTTTCTTTCTTCAGTTTTTGCTCCATCGACTTTGCTATTCTATATACATAGAAGCCCCCTGTGGCATTGGGTAGGTGGTTGAAAGTGGCCCCTATAACAGGCTATGTTTGCTCAAGGAATTGTGGCTCAATTGGAAATCTTGTGATTACTTTTTCATATCTATGTGTCCTGAGGATTCAGAGCCCAAAGAATCACTACTGTGTCCATGCACCTCTGGAACTTGGCCAGTGGAGGCTGAGGTGCAGTAGAGCCTCCTTCTGCAGGAGACACGATGTGCCCCAATTCCAGAGACACACCTGGTCTCTACCAGAAGAGGACGCTGTCACGATTTGTTGAAGTAGGACCTCTTACTTACTGGATGCTCCCACTGGTCCTGCGTGGTGCGTGGGCCTGCTGGCACCCCCAGGTCCCGCAGGTGGAAAGCCAAGCCACAGGTGCAGGCCGGGAAATGTATCTGGGGAGACAAAGCCATTGGTCTACTGGGAGGGGTGGAATGGGGTGTTAACACGTGCTCTCTACAACAGGGATGGTCAGTCTTAAGGTGCAGCCCCATCTGTCATAATTAAGACCCAGAGCAGCGGGTAGGTCGACGCGGACTTGGGACTCACAGGACGAGGCTCCTTGCTAGCTAAGTCTTCCCTGAGGTGACACTACAATTACTCCTCCATCTCGGAGAAATTAGGAGCCCTGGGGAAGCGCACACAGGGGACGCTGCTTCTGGGTGGTCTTCACAGAGACCTCCGTGAAGACCAGCCCGCCCTGACCCGGGGGAAAAGGTCCCTCAACTGCAGGCAGCATCAGGAACTGAGAGGAAAAGAGTCAGTGTGGAAGGCTACTAGAGCGTGGACATAGAAGGACTCAGGCCCAGGACGACCTTCCCTGTCTAGAGAGAACAAAAGCCTTTGTATTTCAGGTTTCCCACCACAAGAGGTGTGAGCAACTGCAGGAAAGGCCTCGAGCCCGCGTTTCCCAGGTGTGGTGGGTCTGGGGAGGAATCCTCGTTCTAACAGAAACACATGGAGGCTGGCACTACTGGTGACGGAGGCTGGCACTACTGGTGACAGAGGCTGGCACTCCTGGTGACAGAGGCTGGCACTGCTGGTGACGGAGGCTGGCACTACAGGTAATGTGCTCTGAGAAGCATCTTTTTCAGGAATGCTGGGCTGAAAGGCTGGTGGTCCCTGCGCACTGTCCGCCCATGAGCAAGCCCAGCTGTGCCCAGGAGTAACTGAGTGGAACTTAAAGTTGCCATTTCACTGCTCCCAGGGCAGGGCAGCAGCCACATACCTGTTTTAGTTGTTTTTCTAGTTTTTCTTTCTCCATCTGACAAACTTTGATCTACAGAGAAAACACAGGCAGTTGGTTATCAGGAGGAGCTCGGGCCGTAGGGGAACCTGGGACCGGCCAGTGCAGGGCACAGGGAGCGGCTGAGCCAGCAAAGAGCTGTGCTTGGGTTTCAGGCGTGCGTCTCCTCCGTCCTGAAATCCCCAGGGGAAAGCGAGGAAGCTGGGGAGTTTTAAAGTGTTTTCCAGTTTGTGGAGGCCCCCTGGTTCTCAGTCTCGGCTGACCTGTGCAGACCTAGATGTAGCAGCGTCTGGCTCACTGAATGAAACTGGCATTGTTCAGCCGGCATTCAGGGCCTGGCTCCTGCCCCACACAGCCTCTGCACCACGGTGGCTGGCTCCAGACCCCTCAGTGGCAGCCGGGGGGCACTCTGGTACGTGGCCAGTGCCTGAAGGATTTGATCTGAGGTCTCTGTTTAAAGTCCTACTCAGATCACATCCTACTCAGCCAAGGTTTCCCTTCATTGCACTGCGGCATTTAACCTGCTCCCGATCCTCTTAACATGGTCATCAAATCCTTCCCTGTGTCTTATCGAGTTCTATCATTGTTTAACCACAGTGAATGAGACTTTTTATTTCTTGTACCGGGGATGCAACCCAGGGGTGCTCTACCACTGAGCCACATCCCCAACCCTTTTTATTTTTTACTTGAGACAGGGTCTCACTAAATTGCTGAGACTGGCTGCAAACTTGGAATCCTCCTGCCTCAGCCTCACCACCACACCTGGCTGAATGAGACTTAAAAAAAAAAAAAAAGATTGGGCTATCATTATTTTAAAAGAAAATTTTGATAGTTTTAATGTATCAGTTTCAAGATTGTTCCTTAGCTTATAAACACAATTATATCATACTACTTGGACAATATATTTATTTTGCTGATGCTGGTCAAAATTGCTTTTTATAGATGCACAGGCACCAGAACTGCGTGTGGACTATGTTCTAAAATGTTAAGTAGATGGACTATGTTCCTGGTTGAACTGAAAGTTCTAAAATGGAAAGTACATTGCCCATCTTAGGCACCAATTTATTGCCACTCTGAACTTTTTGGGGTTTGGTGCAGAGGAATCACTCTGAACTTAATAAAATAGAATAAATAAAATTGAAACATACCAGGAATAAAGCAATTTGTGCACTAACAAAGAAATCAAGGGGGCTTTGTTTGTAAGCAATAAAGATTGAAAGAGGAATTCTTCACCCAGTATAATCAGAACTTCTTCACCCATTGTTGTATAAATTATTTGTTGGGTTTCATGGATTACTTTCAGAAAATTAAAGAATTATACTTTTAATCCTACTAATTTCCTTTATAATTCCTTAATTTTATTCCTTTTAATTTTTTAGGAAATGGTTCTACCAAATAATTTTCCACATAAAATTAAGAATTTCAAGTTAATCCTTGAAAAAATATGAGAGAAGAAATCAGATGCCGTTCACTGTCCACGTTGCATTGGGCAGAAGAGGACCACTGAGGGCTTGGAGTCCTTCAGAGACTGGAAGTCGGCAGCTAGCAGGCCTGCCCCATTTCCCCTTTACTGAAACCACGGCAGGGTTTTGCAAATCAAAAGCATGTGGTTATTTCAAAATCGCGTTGGCTACACTCTCCCTCCTTAACATCAGTGCTCACCCTCGCGGCAATGTCCGAGTCTACTTTTTCTCCTGTTACACCTAATTTTAGTTCACTTACAGTCAATACAGTCTAGTCCATAAATGGCTTCCTGGAAAGGACTCTAGTCACATTCCCTCTGGGGCCCAGTGACCAGGGCCCTGGGTCTCAGCAGACATGTGCACGGCATGTTTTTAGAGGGCAGGGACATTCCAACACAGCCCTTCAAAGAAAGCGACAGGAATTTAGAAACCACTTCACTATATTTGAGTAGAAGGTAGTTCAACTCCCATTCTCCCAAGATAAATATTATGGGGAAAAGATCACAAGAACTGTATTTTATAAAAGACTTTGGAATCCAGTTTCTGGGGTCATTCCTCAACGTACTCAAGATAAAAGAGATTTCAGACATTTTCATCTGCTTGCAAGGTCGTTAAGAGTGACTTCATCCCAGGTGTGGCCTCTCAAGAACCCAACGTCAACCGACAGAATTCAAAAGGCTTGAATACTTTTTAAATGAGAAAATAAAAATGAAACGCGTGTGCTTGGCCCAGGCCTCGCTGGGTGTGTACCTGGGAACTCAGCCTGGTCAGCTGGGCCCGGGAAGCTTGATGAGCCCGCCGCAGCTCTTCTTTCTCTCGACTGAGCCTTTCCCGATCCGATCGCTCCTTTCTGAAGTCTTCTTCATATATTTGTACCTGAAAGACACGTGGGTGCTGTGACTGTCATTCTTCTGTGCTCTTTGGCCATTCAAGCCATCTCTTCCCAGGTGCCTGCTGGGCTTCTGCAGTCGGGCACGCCCACCCTCTGCTCCTGACCCCTCTTCAGGGTGGGGTGGGGAAAGGCACAGGGCCGCAATTCATCCTTCACTCCTAGAGTGGAAGTCCTCGGATTTTTCCTTCTTGGGTGTGCATCAAGAATTCAGAAGGGACAAAGTGTAAATTCCTTAAGACTCCTGTGCCCACACTTCTGCCGGGTGCTCTGCTGTGCTGGAAGCCTGGCTGGCTTTAAGTGTCACCACTGGAGCAAGCCAACGCCTGCACAGGGCTCAAGCCTGAAGTTCTCAAAGTCAGTTTGCTGACAAGGGCTGTTCAGTGAAGCCACTAAGGACTGACATGCCAACAGTGAACACAGAAGCAAAGGCGGACAAATGTGGAAAGTGTGACTGTTGAGAGGCAGCCTCAAGGTTCGTCCTTGTAAGCAGTTTTAGAGGTAGATGATAAAAAAGAAATATGTAAGATTTTATTGCAACACTTCATAAGAGATATTCCAAATATTCCAGAAAAGTAATCAAGCAAATGAATTAATCATTTTTTAAAAAACTGGCGTGATGTTGTCTGGTAGCTTGGAGACAAACATGTGAGGCTATAAAAATAAATGAAAGGTAGAGAATGAAGCAAAAGAATTCTTCTAAGACTGAGGTTTAAATCACTTCTACATGGAAACCTCTGAGCTGGACACGGCACCTTCAGATTCCAACCAGAGGTGCAGCCATCTAAAGCAGTCAGATGAAAGCCAGCAGGCAGGAGGGGAGATCCAGCACTGCACGTAGATTCTGGTGGAGATGCATATGCAAATGCAGACACACACACACGTGCACACACATGCACATACAGGTGTGTACATATGCACACACATGCACACATGTATACATGCAAATATACACAGCACACAATATATACATGAACATACAGCATGCACACACACATACATGTATGCATACACATGCAAATATATACACAAGACACACATGTATACATGCACTCACATATGTCATGCATGCACACAAACATGCACATAGATAACATATGTGTGTACATGCATGTACATATATACAGGCAAACACATATATGTGTACGTAAGTGCGCACACCACACACATGCACACATAACGTACACATGTGCTTACATGTACACGTGCACACATGCAAAATGCAGACACATACAATATGCATGTACACACATGCAAGCATATACACACAGGCACAAGCATGTATGCACAGAAAAACTGCACACACATGTACACATACATATATGCACACATGCACACACACATACATAGCATGCACACACACATGCACATGTGTACATACATGCACACACAAATATATACACATAGATTTCATTTTTAAATCCTTATTCATCAGCCCCATTGCAAGGAAACTACATCCAGCCAAGCGACATTTTTATTTATTTTTTAGTCAAGAGCTGAGGCTCAGTTCTAGGCAGACAGAGCAGTTACTGGGGTGTTTTGAACGGGATAAGCCCGTGTAAAGAGAACTGAACATTCTAGCTAGCAGTGCCGTCACTTCAGTTCTGACTCAGATTCTCTGTGGATCTGAAACCTTGACTGCCCCGTGTGGCACTTGGTGGGGTTGCAGTCATAGGTGCTGACTTAGAAGTGGGTTTGGTCAAAATGTATGTGCAGAACATCACACACTCTCCCTAGTGCCAACGAAGGGATGGGCGTCGCTCCACTGTTCAGCGCACATGAAAAGAACGCCTGTCAGGCCTGCATCCCACACTGGCTGACCCCGCTGCAGCCCACGTGCCAGGTGCCCTCTGGCCTGCAGTGTGCTTAGTCGGTGAGCTCCAGGATGGTCCAGGGCCTGAACACAGGCAGTACCTGCCCCGGAACCCTGCCTGGGCTGCCACCTGGACAGGACTTCAACAAACTGAATGTCACCCTCGCTTTCTATGGATCAATTTTTAAGCCATAGGCATGATCCCGAGTGTAACAGGCAGATTATTCTATGAGATAATCTGGAAAGAGAAGACCCATCTTTCCACCAAGAGCTCTGGATTTTACATCCAGCTACTTACTCCTTTCAGGTAGTGACGGTAAGTGAATATCAGTAACCCCATGGCTCAGCCTTCCCACGTGGGCACATTGAGACTCCTTGTAATTGGCACATACTCAGAGCAAACTGGTCAGTGAACATGTCCAGGGGCCTCTAAAAGATAGAACTGATTTCCGGCCTTCACCCCAGGCCTCGGCCTCCTGCTGCTAATAGGTTCTTGAGGGCACGAGCTGGGATTTCGGCGAGTCCCCTTACTCACTGCTACTTAGCCTCTCACAGGAGGAGAAACTTGACAGGCACAGCTGGCCCTTCAGCGAGGCGGACACTAGCCTGCTGGACTGAGCTCAGACACACGCAGCTTGGCCAGTGCTGCCTCCCCCATGCTCGGCCGCCAGCGCCCTCGAGGGCACCCTTGCTCTCGCCGTCCACGTGGCCGCAGTGAGGGAGAGGAGTGGCTGGGGGCACCAGGCCTGTGTAGGGTAGCAGACCTGACTCTTCTGTGACCACAACCAGAACCACAGATTCTTTGAAAACTGCCCGTGATGTTCAAGGGCAGGAGGCCAGGACCTGCAGGATCATAGCCTGGCGGCTCCCATTGTCTGAAAAGGTGAGATCTTGGGTGAGCAGTGTTTCCAGAATCAACCACGCCTGCAGGGAACTCCGTGGACCCAGGGCTCACAGAATCTCAATCGTCTCTTCACGGTGTGACCTTGGGTGACCCGTAACCCACAGAGACTTGGTTCCCACTTTATGAACCCCGCTGTGACCCAGCTGAACTCCATTCTGCCTGGAAACTTTGAAACCAGTACTTCTAATTAAAGCAAGTGTGAGAATGGGTGGCCGCTGTGAACAGCAGGAGTGCACTGGCCACAGGCCCTGCCTGGCCCCAGGACTGTCTGCTCCGACCTCTCACCTGCTGCTTGAGAACTTCCACTTCCGTTCTCGTGGCCGCGTGGCCGCACTCCACAGGGCACATCCCCCGCCGGTCCCCAGGAGACGAAGCACCCTCGATTTTCAAGACGTCCTGAAGAGCCTGTGGCGAGGCAAGCACACAGCTGCGTGAGCCTGGCAGCCTGGGAGTCCCCGAGGTGGCCGTCCCTCCACGCCCCCAGCAGCCCTCCTCCCCCTGCGGCTTCCCCTTCTGATTTCTGCCCACGGGTCCGTGGTCAGAGCCTGCCTGCTCCCAGGAAAGCCGCTGCTGGCTGTCCGCCCCTTGCTGCTTGGGGGGCCTCAGTGAAGGGCCCCTCGCCCTGGCCAACTACGAATAGAAGACTTGTCTGTAGCCTTTCTGCCAATTCTCGGCCTCAGTCACCGTGTACCCTGTCCCTGGTACTCGAAGCTCGGGAGCCAGAGGTGGCCCGACAGGCCCAGCCCCGAGCCCTGCCTAGAGATTCTGAACCGGGAGCCCAGAGCCCAGAATCTGCACTTCTCAAAAGCTGGTGTGGCTCATCCCAGGTGACGTTTGGGGGGACATTCTTCTGTGTAACCGTCTCATGTCCCCAACAAGAGAAGGAACCCCAAGGGAAGGCAGCCCCTCGCCCAGCCTGGCCACAGGCAGTTCACTGTCAGAACTGCTGAGGCGTCCTGGGGAGGGGGTGAGAACTGCTGAGGTGGCCACGCTGTGTCCCACCCACACCGCGCCCTAGCTCCGCAGCCCAGGGGTGCGCCTCTCTCAGGTCACAGGGAGGTGTCCCCTCCAAGCTTGAAGGCCCAAGGTTCACACGGAGATGAGTTCCCAGGACTGTGACAGAACAGGCCTCGCCTCGAGGCCCTCAGGACACACCACTGGTCACTGTCCTTCACACAAGGGTGCTCCCACCCACAGGGTCGCAAAACCAGCAAAGGAAGGGCAAGCCTGTGGCCTCGCGTCCCCTGTCCAACCCGAGTTCCCCAACAGATGTCTCAGTAGCTCAGATGCCATCCAGCCTGACGCGAACGTGGCTTTTCAGGAAGTTCTAAGAGAAACAAGAACTGCTCTTCTTCTCAGGGAAGAAACTGCGGAAACAACAAGTTCTCCAGTAATTTACGTTTTGTCAGATTTGTGTGTGTGTGCTGGGTATCAGACTATCCCAAGCTGCACCCGCAGCCCCGTCAGAGTCTGTATAAAACACGTAGTTCTGGGGGATTTCAGAATAAGTAGACCTTCTAAGTGACGTGGAAGGTAGCACACAAACTCCGGAGTGCGGGACGCCCCGTGACAGCGGCAGCCAACAGGACCGCTCACCATCTACCCGACTGGGTGCCTGGCAGACCTCGTTGTTTGAATTCCCAGGTTTTCCTACCTTTCATGCTACTTGGGATTTTAGAAATTTTCAAATGAGTCATAAATGAAAGGTGAGTCCAGGAGACATATATGCCATCTTGGGTTTCCGGCTTCCTCGAATAAACCCCACAACCTATTCTGGGACAGGAGCTTACTATCAGAACCGAGGTGCCGGGAAACCTGCCCACCCCAATGGCGAGATAAGGGATGGCTCAATGAGCCCGCGGGTGGCCCTGGATGACCAGCTTCAGCAGGGCTTCTCACTCCCTCTCGTTATCCCTGACCCCCCTGTAGGAACTTGGTAAGGACAAAGCCCTGGGGTATTCAAAGCGAGTCACCTGAATTGAGTACCCACAGTGACGGAACTTCTGACAGCCCTGTGAGTGGCTCAGGTGACCTGTCAGCAGCGTCTGCTGAGTGGGGGCAAGTCATGAAACAGGGAGACCCCGGCTCCACTGAGACGGTCCTCGGTCCCCGGTCCCCCCAATCAACATGTCCAGTGGCTTCTACTTCCCCTACTTCCCGCAGTAGGAAAAAGAGAAGACCCATTGTAAAATGGAATAACATAATGTCCTACATTTCATTTGCCCCGACACTTGTGCTAAGTGAGAAGAAATCTCCCCAAGACCATCACTTTGTACAAGTGGTGCTCCAGGCACAGACGTGCGCAAGGACATTTTTTCTGCCTTTAAGGACCCTTCACTTTTCCTCACTACCCATGAGTAAGGTATTGTACATCACACTGACGAATTATGCTTACTAAATGGTAAATCTCAGGTCCAAAACTGGCTATTGAAGACGTCATGTTCTAGTGAATTAAATTTGTTGATCCATCCATTCACGCATTCGCCACTCGGCACATACTTTATGAACTTTCTGGGGGCAAGTCCTGTCCTTGGCACTCGGGTTGTGGCAGAGACCAAAGGGTCCCGCCTGACTGCTGCCTTGGCGAGCCCCCTCCACAGACATGCACTCTGAGACAGTACTCACAACTGCACTGTGGGAGAGATGGGTGTACTATTGTGTGAAGCAAGTTTTCACCTGAAAGTTGACTTTTTCTTGTGATTTTAGGCGAAATGAGATGTACACGTGGGCCTCTAGGTGTGTGTGGCTCTGCCACTGTGCCTGCTGTGCCAACGGACGGATGTCCAGCCTGCAGGAATTCTACCCTCACTGAGCTCATGCTCCCGAGCGGCAGGCAGAGCAGACGCAGGGACACAGAGGCAGCGCGAGCTGTGCCAGGCAGCAGCAGGCTCCAGGACAAATCCCATGCCCACCAGGGAAACTCCTAGCACAGCCGAAAGGTCCCCGAGGAGGCGACATTTGTACAAAGACATGAGTCTTACTCAGATTAAATTTTCTTGTTGAGATCCTATGATTATAACCACCAAAACTATCAAACCACTAATTTTCTAATTTTTTAAAAAAGTTCTGCTAGCTATAAATACAGATTAAAAAATGAAGTGCAACACATAAACTTGAGCAAAAGAACAGGATTCTCAGTGGCTCCAAGATCTAAGGTGTTTATTTCCCTGTGCCCAGTTTTTTGTTTACCTTCAAATGAAAATTTCCCTGAAATTTATATATTTCTCTTCCCCCAGGAAATTAAGAATTGGTGCATGGAACACACACACACACACACACACACACACTCACACTCCTCCTCATCCTCTGAGCAATGCACAACTGCTCCTTTGAAGACTAAGATGGAGCTCGGGTACTGGATCCCTGGCATTTTCCAGGCAGCCCTGACTTCTGCCCTTCCTCTCTGAGAGGTGAGCTGGGCCTTAACCTTGCTATTGACCTTGGGCTTGGCATTCAGCTTACTTCTACGCGTGCACCACGCTGAACCCCACAGCATCTGTCTTAAAGACCTGCCCACTTCCTCAGGAAGCTCCTGTGGTTGCTGAAAGGTGAGTGTTCACAAGCATGCACCTGCTTCATATGGCTCTGCAGACTGAAGGAGGAAGGAGGAGGAGGGGGAGGAAAGAAAGATGTGTGTGTGTTCTCACTGCCTCTGCAGCTTCCATTCTCTTGCCATGCCCTCTGCAGAGACACAGAATCCCAAAGCCTCCTGACCAGGTGGGGCTGAGCCACAGCTGTGCTGGTAAAGGTGGTGTGCCCTGTACCCAACCGAGGCGGGGGCCATGTGGCAGCTGGCTTGGATACGACCAGTACTGGATACTGTCAGTATCAGTAGCAGGACTGTGCCCGCCCCCCAGGGAGCTCTGGCCTCTACCTTGGGGACCTGCCCGGTACCTTGTTAAGGCGTTGTATTTCACATTCATAGTGCTCTTTCTTCTTCATCGCGAGAGCATTTTTTTCCTTCAAAAGCTTATTCTCTTTCTTCAGTTCCTGTAATTCTTCGTTTAGGGTTTCCCTTTCCTTTGAAAAGAAAGAACAAGGACTTCAGGACACAATCAAAGTCAGCAGGGAGGATAGTGCAAGGCCCTGTACCTCAGCTGCCTGGCAGACAGAGGGCTTCCCTCTTGGAGAAGTACAGAGAGACCGTGATATTGCCTTTGAGCATCTCCTTCAGGCAGTACCCTTGGATTGAGGACAGCATTAGGACTGAAGATAATTTTTCTTTATCAAAACTCAGTGCTACTTCTTAGAAGTTTGGTGACCCCAGAAAAAGACATCAAAATCCCCAATCTTCACTTTTCTTGGTCAGATAAATGGGTCTGAAGAATCATCTAGTTCCCATTACTAGGTGATGGATAAGGGACTCAGTAAAAACATTCACAATTCTAAAAAAAAAAAAAGAAGAAGAAGAAAGAAAGAAATCATGCAACAAAACAAGATATCAAGTATCTCAAAGCCCAGTCCTGAACCAGGCTGCAGCAGAGAGCAGGAAGAGCAAGGGGATTCAGGCAAATAGAACCCTTTGCTCAGAGCACCTGCTGCCATTGTTGGTTTAAAAGGCAGCGATCATGGCATCCGATGGTGGTCACAAACCACGTTTTAGGCCATCACCTGGAAGCATATTGTTAGAAATAACTGAAGATTCACTTTGAAGGCATTAACGGGCTCTGGACTTAAACAATGTCACCTACTTCTTAACTTTACACAGTAAATAGTAAGCCTGGTGTGAAGGAAATTGGCTGAGAATAAATAAATATTGCACAATATAGGTATCTCAGGATGAGAAAATAGGAAATATATGTGCCAAAATGTGTGATTTTAGTCATTGGTGTTTCCCAATGCAATTCTTAAATTTAAGAAATATACTTTAGGAAATTCATTTTCTTTAAAAGTGAAAGTATTTCTACTTGATTTTATTTAAATAGAATGGGCCAATACACTTGGAAAATGAACCAATCAAGAGAAAATTATTTTAACTAGAAAATGGTCGAAACTCCAGAGGCAAAAGCTACTAAGATTCCTGGTCAGGTGTCATTGGCAAGGAAGCCACCCACAGCGGGGAGAGGAGCTGCCAGCCCACTGCCGGGGCATGTGGCAGAGGTCTCAGCCAGGTAGGCAAGGCCAGGAAACAGGCCAGGGCCCCTGGTGTGATGGTGACTTCCCTGCAATATCTGCAGTGCTGGTTTTTCTTAGTATACCTGAAAGGAGAAGCTTAGAATTTAAGATTCTCCTCTCATCCTCTTAGTACCCACTAAGTCCAGTAACTGTAAGAAAAAGCAGGAAGAAACAGAGTCTGCTTTAGGAGGAACCGCCCTCTGGCCTGAGGCATGGCACCCTCAGCAGGACCCAGGGAGCCCATTTCTGCAGGCCCAGCGTCGGCTCGGCCGTGAAGAGCCCTCTAGCCTCTGGCCTGGGCTCCGTCTGCTCGCTGGCTGTCTTCTTTTGTGCTTCTGGGAATGGAGCCTGCCGCAGCAGGCTGGGTGCCGGCCACACGGGGACAGCTTTCTCGTGGTCCGTGTGGCAAAACAACGGGTGAGAACGTTCAGTGAGATATGAGGGCGAAGCGCTGTGGAAACGCACGGTACTCTGCTTGGCGACAAGAGGAATGCCCACTTGCGACACCGAGAAGCGACTCGGCAAGTGCAGCAGGTGGCCTTGGCGCTCCTCTCCGCCATAACAAGCAAAGCCCGGGGACAAGGGCAAAGATGTCTACTACGGCCTTGGAGACGCGCAACCGCCCCGCGCCGCGGTGCTGGAGCCCTGGGCCACCCGACGCGGACCCCGCGGGCGCCCACCTCTTCCCGCCGCGGGCCCCGGGCGGCGCCACCCGCGCTCTGGCTCCGCCGCTCGCACTCCAGCTCGCCCAGGGCGCCCTCGGCCGCGCGCAGCCGGGTCCTCAGCTCCGCCACCTGCGGAAGGAACCGGCAGTTTCAGACCCCTCTCCAGCACCCAAGCCTCGGGCACCCGACTGTGCGCTCAGGGACGCGAGCGCCCCTCCTCAGCGCGTCCCTCGCGTGCAGCAGGATGTGTGCACTTTAGAAAGAGCTCGGCCAACCCCAAAGCAAGCACCGGCCTGGCCCCGCAGCCTCCAGCTCTTCCCTCCTTCCTCCAAAATTGGCCTCAGCAAGGTGTCCTACCGCTGCCGCATGCGGTGGGAGCATTACCTTGCACCTTATGAATTTGGGTATAAAAAGGGGGAAGAGAGTAGCAATGTGGTTGTGGTCTAGTTTCTTAATTCCGAATTCTTTAGGGGATTTACTTTCTCTTTCTGGAGATTGAGTGGCTTTCAAATTACAAATTGATTTAAAGGAGATTTTCTCCAAAAAGTTGCTTTCTCACCAAAGCCAAAGCTTCTCAACAGCACAGTGGCTTACAGGGAAGGGGAGGGCCCTTTGTCTCCTTATGGAAAGAATTAGAGGCTGGTCTTGCAGAGCACAGCATGAATTTTAGACGTCCCTAACAGACACCACAGCCTGCAGATGCACTGATGGCTGCGAGAGACCCCGCTGGGAAGCAGGACACATAAGCACACTCTGGGGACAGCACTAGAGGTGGTTTGTAGCCCATTTTTCAGCGCTGCCCAAGGCGCTCCACCGCAGTGCTCATTCCTCTTCAGTACCAAGAGGCCAGAGGTGCACCCAGCACCCTCTCCCCTCTGGCTTCCACTACTGCCTTGCACAGAAACCTTCACAGCCGCAATCCCTGAGCCTCCACATGGCTGATCCCGACCAGGTTAAGGAGATGCAGAGAGCCAGACAGGGTGCTTACCTTTCTTTCATACACCTCCTTCATGCTTCTAAACTGCTGGTCCCACTGCTGATTGACTTGTAGGAGCTGAAATTATTAAAACCTAGTGAGTCAACAAAGGATTTCTACCCCTTTGCAAATTTGGGCAACCCTAGAATCACTTTTTGAGGTTACAGAGAGTGGAAAGGCAAAAGTGAACAGAATAATTCCTTCCAGCGAGTTCTGTGTGGGCTGGAGGACCTGCTGCTCACTCTCACCTGTTCCTAACTGGTTCACACAGGGAGACCATTAAGTCTGGGTGTATCGCAACCAGCCCGCTAAACAGCACACCAGCCAGCTTTAACTGTCTCATATGAACTTTCATCTTCTTTGTTTAATTCAATCAGAATCTAATAAAAAAATGTGATGTTGGTGGTTTTCTATAAGATCTACTAATGTGTGAAGGGTCTTTTCACAAACCTTTTCAGATTTTTTTATGTATATACACTGATTATTACAGTGAATTATTTTTCTAGCTTTAAAAAAGTTTATATTGAAGTCTGTACCATTAAATGATAATCATTTGTTTGCAATAGTATTCTTTAAAAGAATAACACATGATTTGTGATACATAATCATTGAATGGATACTATCACATTTTCAAAAGTATAGATTTTTCAAGGAATAAGTTTTGCTGTAAGACAATTTTAGAAAACTCTTTAAAGGTTTTAAACCTCTGTGCTAATTAGAAGACAACACTGTGAGGGGTGTTTTAGTTTCCTTGTAGGGAAATTTGCAATCTGCAGCACTCATCAATATAAGAAGATAGTCACAAATGACAAACGGAAATAGCAAATCTGTCACCTAGGACAAAACAAAATACCGAACCCAGAATGGCAGTTCCTAGGTAACTCTTTTGGTGGAGATAAATATGCTATTTAGTTCAGTTCTATGTATATTGACTAAAGATGCCTGCTTTGTTAACTTTTTATGGATTAGCGTTACTGTGCTGTAGCTGCATTAATCTACTATAGGTCAGGAATTTTCTATGTAGTGTCAAAGAGGAGTAGATGGTACCATAGAAGAGACAGTGGATTAGGAGAGGAACCGCCAGGTCAGCCACAGAGGGAGCACTACATTTGTGACTCCGTTAACCTCCTCCTCTGTCAAGAAGGGTAAAGAGGTTCAATGCTCACTGAACTCAGGAAATAAAATTCAGATGATTAAAAATATCTATTCATCCCCACTAACATTTAAGGAATGAATTTTCTAATGTCAGCGCTCCCAGACCCCTAGCGTTGAGACGCCCAATTCACAAAGTCACACCTTCTCAATCAACTGCACTGAAATCCTTCACATTTGGAGTTTCAAGGTGTGCCTCTTGTGTGACACAGGTCACGAGTTCACATGGGGCACATGGAGGAAGCAGCTGAAGTAGGGGAAAATTAGGATTGTAAATGCCAAATGAGTTTATGACCCTGTCATTTTTTTCATTAGGCATTACGTAAATATTGATAAAACTGTTTTCTTTCAGTATAATGCAATGCAGTATCAGAGAGGTGAACACCGTCACTTAGCAAAGATAAAAGACATGATGCTTGTTCTCAGCACTGACCCATCCCGATGTCTTTAACTAATACAAGTTACCTCTTTTCTCTGTTTCTCTAAGCACCTTATCTTTTGTTCAAGAGGATCTGTCAAATTCTTTCTTCTTGAGGATTGAGCACTCTTGGGGGAAAAAAAAAGGATTGAGGTAAAACCATTTGCAAAGTAAATAGGAGAAATACTGTCCTTCACAAACACCCTGTGTTTAACCAACTCTTATATTGTGATTTATAAAAACACTGGATTCTGGAGCTGAGAGGCAGCTCAGTGGCAGAATGCATCAGCACCACAGACAAAAACAGAAACCCTCTCCCATGGTTCCTTCATAAGGACTTGTCGGGGCACAGCTTCACATTATGAAAAGATCCCGTCACAGGAATTGGTAAACAAAATATCCCAACAAATCATAAATGTATCTATATAATGGGTAAACCGGAAGTTAGAACTTCTTAAATTTGAATTTGAATCCCTTTCCAAAAAAATAAGAGTAGAATGACTTACAGAAATTGGGTCCGTTTCAGGATACGTTTTAGACGTTTACATAGTAAACATTTCTCGAGAGTCATTTTCAGTCCTGCCCATGAACATATCACCAGCAAATTCTAAAGAGTGTCTCTGTCAAAAGTCAGAGGGGGCATAGGACCACCACGAATGAAGACCACAGTGGCCCCTGAAGCACAGCGGCTGAAGCCCAAACCCCAGGACTGTGGATTTTAGCACGTCAGAGTCGGGGGCATAGAGATTGTCCGGCACTGTGTAACACTAACCAGCTCTTGGAATAAAAGTCTTTAGAGTACAAGTTTGGACTGACAATAAATTATTAGCTTAATGGCTTAATGGAAACATTAATCATATTTTGGTTTTTTTTGGGGGGGTTGGCTATGTTTGTCAAGAATGGGAATATTCATTTAAAGAAAGCACAGAAGTCCCTGCAGCTGCCTGTCATTGGGCTAAATTGTCACTTGCATAAAGGACTGGTTTCTGTGCTGTAACCAAAGAGTCCTTTAGGTCATAGAAGCCGGAGGGTGATGATGATCTGCGTTCAGCCCCTTACCATCAGGGACTGTGGACCACGGAACTGCTCCAGGCTCTGCATGAACAGTTAAGAATATTTTCAAAACATGTTGATCTTTGCCAGAAAGATCAGAGGAAACAGTTCTTTTGCCATCATCGTGGGATTTTGAGGGCTCTTTCATGAGAAACCATTTATAAAGCTGCATTTCCCTGTATTTCCTTACTTCTGACTTGTACTTTAAGGTTTGAGGGAGTACACCTGTGTAGCTGCTGCTCTTTGCTTTACCTCCTTCTTTCTATTTAGACCTGTGTTGTGACTAAGGCCACATTTTAACAGTGAGCTTCTGTGTAAACTTGCTGTTAACCACAAGAAACTGGTTTGGCTGATCACCAAGAGGGACGTGGAAATCCAGGTGACAAGCATGTTGGTTCCTGTGAGTGAGTGACCTTCTCCTTTGGGAGAAGACTTTTAAGAAACGAGATTAGAACTGACTGACCCACTAAGCATCTTGGATCTGGCATGTGCTGAGAGCCAGCCCTACTTGGTGTGTGCTGAGATGAGCACCCAGTGGTGCAGCAACAGGGACTCTGACCACAGGAGCAAGTCCAGGTCCCCCTGACACAGAGTGCCCCGGACACTGGGTTGAGACTTCTGAAATGGTGTCTCTGTGCCTAACCAACATCCTCAGTCATCATGGTTCCTAGTAAGTCAATATCCTGCCATCCCCGCTCACACTCGGAAATGTCAATCTGGGGTCCTCGAAAAGCCCTCCTTTCACTTGTGAGGTGGAAAAAACTCTGTGACCATAAAACATCTGTAGGCTCTTGCCTTCTGGGAGTGCAGATGTGGGCTGATTTGTTTCCGTAAATAATTTTTTCTGGATAAAATCATAAAACACTCTGACCTGGATTCTTATTTTATGAATAAGATACAGATACTGGATTTTCAAAGGGGTCTATCTGGAGCTGGAGGAGCGCTGATTTCTGAGACTCAGCAGTGGTCTTTGTAAGTGGGGAAATGGGGAGGGGGGAGGAGAGGACCCTGGGCTTGTCAGCCACAGCTGTATCTCCAGGGCTTTCTCTGAAGATTAGTCTAAATTTTGCCATGGCTTATATGACTCAAGTGTATATTAAAATATGGCAAAATCAACCAAATACTAAAATTTTGGGGAAATTTCACTTGGATTTGCTTTGCTTTTCAGTTGCTAAAAAGGCATCAGATATTGCAATAAGTGCAAAGATTTCTAATGACTGAGTTCTAGTTCAGAAAAAATGTCCCCCATATGCAATTCCCTATAATATTTTCTACAGAACACGATCTATATTCACAGTGTCTGGGCATTTCTTTCTCTACCATAATACCCAGGCCAACTTCTAGATATTAAAATTTCAGCACTACCCACTTAAATTTCTAAATGAAATATGTGGTGCAGTTTCTCATTATACCTTGGTTATCTTTTATTAAAAAACTAAGAAAGCACCTCCATTCATTCAGTGTCCATTCACCCACGAGGCCAAGCCATCCCCAGAAGCGTGTTCTTACCTCTGCTTGGTCCGCGGAACTGTCCACAGTGCTCATTCCAGCTGTGCCCTGGGCAGAATGTGCTACGGAAGCTGTTTTCCTGGGAGTCTTGGGAAGCAGCAAGAAGAGGGGGGGAGTCTCTTATGGTGTGTTCAGGGTAAGACCAAAACGCAGAATTGGCAAAGCCCACCCCACCACTAACTCATGGTAGAAAAATCACAATGATCGTTTTGCATTAAAAACAAAGGGAGGTGACTCTGCCTGTGAATGACTCGGAATAAGGCTGATAAGTGCACAGACCCGGACTTTAACTCTCCTCTTCCAGAGAGGGATTTCCCAGGATGTCTCAAGCGGCAGGCTGTGACTAAGCCCACAGAGCAGCCTTGCCTCCTCGGTATGTAAATCGTCCTTCTTCCTTTACTGGCAGTTTCTCCCACTGCAGGAGGAAGTTCCCACTGCAGAAAGCCTGGGCCCGGGAGCCCTTCCTCACTCGTCCAAGCGCCATGGACTCCGTGTGTCTCCCAGAGCAGTGGGCGACCACGCCATGTTTCCCTGCAGGCATGGTTTCTGGCAATGGGAGTGTAGCTGTGGAACCCAGGAGTCACACATGACGCTCCAAGTGCCACTGATTCTTACAGAACTAAAAGAAAATAATTCATTTCAAAGAAAAATGGGCCTTGTTGGCAGATCGAATCTACATTTGGCAGAAAGGTCGACCTTGGTTCTCAGACTGGCCGTCATTTCCACAGGTCAGGGGGGACTGTCACCAGGCACCTGAAATGGCATCTTTTTGCTCTGATGTTCTGCTTTAGTTAGGGGACTCCTGCCACTTTGTAGCGAGCTCGAGACGGGTACCGCAGGAAGACGTGGGGTGGGAGGTGCTACACAAGTGGACCAGGGCTCCGGGGCTTGCTGGTCGGTGGCACAAGAGGCCAGGTGTACAAACAAGGGAATAAGGGGCCCTGAAAGGCACCCAGGAGCCACCAGCCGGCTCCCCGCCTGACGGCTCCTCGGGCTGCCGTGAGGTCTTCAGGTTCACAGAGGACGAGGAACTCCCCAGGAGGCGAGGGGCTGCAGGCCTGGCCTCCCCCCCACTGTCCTGCACTCCCCTGTGCTCCTGCGGCCTCCACATCCTCCCTGGGCCCTGGCACGTGCGGCTCGGCCCCCAGCCCTTTGCCAGGCCGCCCTCCCACCTGGACTTCAGCTTGGGTTCCCCCACCCAAGGGAGTGCACGGCCAGCATTGCAATGTCTATTCCCTGTCCCCCCGGCCATCTGTCCCAGCACTGCGCAGGGCCACCTTCAGCACTCTGCTGAATGAGGGGCCTCGTGACCAGCTGTGCCTTGCTCCAGTTCAGGGGCTCACTGCTGGTCTTGGGTCTGTTTACAAGACGGGCAGGAGTGAGAGGCAGTGGGCTGGCCTGAAGCAGTGTCCACAGGGGCAGGTGGGACTCACTGTCCACTCAGAGCTCTGAAAGCCCACTGACCACCTACACACTGACCTCAGGGCAGGGGAAGAGGCCTCTGGAGGCCACTCTGTGCCAACAGAGGTTCTTTCTCCAGGAGGGGGAATGCTGTGGTAAAGCAAGTCTCCTCCAAAACACTCACAGACACGCACACACACAGACCCAACACACAGACACATGCAGACCCGACACACAGACATCCACACACACACATAGACCCAACACACAGACACAGATAAACACAGACATCCACACACACACATAGACCCAACACACAGACACACAGACACATGCAGACCCGACACACCGACACACAGATACACACAGACATCCACACACACACATAGACCCCACACACAGACATACAGACACATGCAGACCCGATACACAGACACAGATAAACACAGACATACACACACACACATAGACCCAACACACAGACACACAGACACATGCAGACCCAACACACAGACACAGATAAACACAGACATACACACACACACATAGACCCAACACACAGACACACAGACACATGCAGACCCGACACACAGACACACAGATACACACAGACATCCACACACACACATAGGCCCCACACACAGACACACAGACACATGCAGACCCGACACACAGACACACAGATAAACAGACATCCACACACACACATAGACCCAACACACAGACATACAGACATATGCAGACCCGACACACAGACACAGATAAACACAGACATCCACACACACACATAGACCCAACACACAGACACACAGACACATGCAGACCCAACACACAGACACAGATAAACACAGACATGCACACACACACATAGACCCAACACACAGACACATAGACACATGCAGACCCGACACACAGACACACAGATAAACATAGACACACACATACACACATAGACCCAACACACAGACACACAGACACATGCAGACCCGACACACAGACACTGATAAACACAGACATCCACACACACACATAGACCCAACATACAGACACACAGACACATGCAGACCCGACACACAGACACAGATAAACACACACACACACACAGACCCAATACACAGACACACAGACATATGCAGACCCAACACACAGACACACAGACACCTGAGGTACATAGATAAACAGACATAGACACACATACACATAGACCCAACATACAGACACACAGATAAATGCACATAGACACACACACACACACAGACCCAACACAGAGATACACAGATAAACACAGATATGAATACATAGGCACAAATTCATTGACGTAGATAAACAGACACACACATACACACACGCACATAGACCCAACACACACAGGAAAACACACAGAGGTAGATACATACACAGACACACATGGACCCACACAGACCCACACCCACAGACACACGGGAACACACAGACACACATGGACGCACAAGAGCACACAGGACGAAGGCACAGAGTCGTCTGTAAAGCTCTAGGTTCCCTCCCTCCTCTTCTCTATCGGTCACAGTAACCCAGGGGTTCACAGGGCGGTTTCTCACGGCACCGTCCCTTGCACCAGCGTCTCAGGGTCCCTCTATGGCCCTCCACTAGGCGGTGGCCTCTGTGAAGCACAAACCCGCACTTTTGCATCCTCGTCACCGTCTGCTGGGGCAGCAGCCAACGGCCCCTAGAGCCCTGCAGGTTCTCGCAACGCTCTGGAGAAGCTGCAGCTCAGCTGGGCACGGGGGCTCCCGCAGACCTGCCAGGAGCGACAGGCACCTGTGGCACCCGCCGGCTCACCCCGCCCACACGGGTGCCCTGCTCTCAGGAGTCTGCTCAGCCTCAGGAGGAGTCTCAGCTGAGAGAACTGTGTCCCCGCTTCCAAGGCTGTTCTGATGACCCCTCATCTCCTGTGTGACTAGAGGGACACAACCGACCAGCAGAAACATGAAGAAGGACACAAGAAGGAGCTACTGCACGGCTCTGCAGCTGTCACCCGAGTGCACTCTGCCACTGGTGACGCGAGGGCCTGGGGCTCAGCCTCCGCCCAGCCCTCCTCCCCGGGCGGCCCTCCCTGACCACACAGGTCAGCACTAGGACCAGCAGCTTGACCTTACCTAGGAACCCTCCCTGAGTCACACGACAAAGGGAAGAGACTGGCCCAAACCGACACGTCAGTCACAGCGCTCGGCACGGAGCCCATCCCAAACCAAGCAGAGACCCCACTTCCAGTGATGTGTACAGGGGTGTGAGCACACACACACACACACACACGTTCACATATACACGTACACACGTTAAATGTACACACATCTACACGTGCACGTGCACATACACACTCTTAAACAAACACAGAGTTTCATATATCCACGCAGATGTGTGCAGGTGTGCACACGTGTGTGTATACACAGGCAGATATGAACAGCTGGGATGCAAAGAGAAGCCAGAGAATAAGTGGTAAGGACACCAAAGCCCCTGGGAGCTGGAGGAGGCTTTCCCGGCACGAGAGCGGGCATCTGCTGGGCCTCGAGGGGTGGGCAGGGCTCTGATGGGGTCGTGGGAGGCGCCACTGCAGGCCACCTCACCAGGGCAGAGGGGGCAAGGCTGAGGCCCCAGGTGACAATGCGCCCATGTAACTGGAGCAGGTCCACGGGGCATCCGAGGAGGACGGGAAGGAAGTCACGACGGGTCTCCTTGGGGGGACACTGAGGACCCTTGGGCAAAGCAGTCTTGTGACGAGCGGCTTTTCAGGACCAGCAGGCCTGAGATGCGTGGTGCCTGTGACATGGGAAGGCCCGGCAAGAGCGAGCCAGTGAACAGACTAGCAAGGTTACCCTGGGCAAGGGACACGCCTGCCACCGCGTCCACCAGGCCCCGGTGGCCAGGGCGGCCCCAGAGCCCCTTTAGTTGCCGGCTGGTCCTCTCTGTGGGGACCTCAGAGCCCCGCCCCTCCAGCTGCAGGAAGCCTGTTTCCTGGTCTGCCCACACAACCTTCCTCCCCACGGGAAGGAACACGTCTCATTTCCCAGAACACAAAGCCTGGAGTTACCTTTCAGGCACCTTTTACCTCAAAGTCTGTGCCCAGTTTATCTGCACACTCTGTAGGCTCCATGCAGACCTGTCCACCACGGCCTCAGGAACCAGGGACTCCGGGCCTCCTGCCGCGCGGGGCAGGCGAAATGACAGGCCTTTTGTCACTGGTTCAGCATGAGGCTGTCCTGTGGGCTTCCGGGTCTTATCCAGCAGGAGCTTTCTTAGGAGCATGTCCAGTGGTGACTGATGTCTGGTTGTGTCTGCTGGCCTCTCTGGAAGGCCAACAAGCCTTTTCTGCTAGCCAGACACTAAGGTACCCCAAGGGCTCTCCTGCCCCAGCCATGAGCAGTACAGGGTGAGGCTTTCAAATGTCCTTTCCTGTCCCTCCTCTGCTGAGACCGGCCGGTGGCTGCCCATGTCACCCAGAGCCGAGGCAGACTCTTCCCAGTGGTCAAGGGGCCCCTGCGGCCGGCTGAGCCTCTCTGACCTCTCCTGCCTCCTTTTTGCTCACACGGCTTCTCCTCCGGCTGTGCTGCAGGCCCTTGAGCCCCTCTCCTGCCCAGGAGGCTTTCCCCCAGTGTCCACACAGCTCATCTGCTCCCCCACAGGGAGCCACAGTGTGGACCTTGCTGTCG